TATTATCGTAAAAAAGCACTGACTTTACAACAATATATAAAATTAAGAAAAAGGTTTTTCATTATTTGCTCAGTATCTTCAACCGTATGAATATTTTATTTACCAAAAGTCTTAAATTCGAAATTTAAATTTTTAACCAACATACATATAAAATTACGCTGTTGGTATGACAACGTCATATTTCAAACGTCAAGCACGCCCTGTTTTAGGTGTTTGAGTGAGTAGTGTCCTTGAGATACAGTGGATACAGTGGATACTGGCTGCGAGATATTTTCACATAGACTGTTTTTTTTCGTCTTTACATCAGGTAAGGATTAGTTTAGGTCGTTAAATAAGTATTCTGAGGGTTTTACAGCTGGCTATATTCAGTTTTTCTTGTGCAAAGTGCAAAATGTGGCTGGATATTTGACTCCTAACCTTTACTCACAATCTTATAATTTTTGTTCAAAGATTGTGGGTGCRAGACCTGCTTCTTCTAGCATCTGTTTTCGCGTTAAACTTGAATTTTGTTCCAACTTTACGGCGGAATTCATATTGATCGAAAAAACGTAGTTTTTAAAATCCACATCGTTTGAAAATGCGCCAAGTTTTAACCAGTTTTATCTAATACGGCTCAGCAGCGAGTGGGAGTGACGTCCCTTGAAGCCCAAACTAACCCCCAAATACCAAATTTTTTTCCCATTGGTATTCCTTTTTATTTATTTATTTCCTGCATTTCGCTTATTGAGAATCTTACACGATTCTCCCAGCTGATTTTTGTTAATTTAAGTTTCAAAAAAAGTTGTTTTGTAGTAAGCCTTATTTGGTGATTGTTGACTGCCAACTTGCCAATAGTAGTAGTAATGGCGTGCTTCAATCCCTCGACACAAATGTAATCTAGAAGCTTAAAAAAGAAAAGGTGTTTTTTTGTATGAATTCGTGTTTTTATTTCAACTAGTTATCGTGAGTTCACTGGTGCATACGTATCTCAATTATACCTTTTTACCGTCTCCTTTGTTAGTCTTTATTCTTTAAGACTCGCTCCCTGAGGGACTATCAGAAATATTCATAAAGCTTGTATTTTATTTAGATATCAAAGCTTAATGCAAAGAGGGACTGAAAACCGTGCAGCTTGAAACAAATATGCTAAAATTTACGCTTTGAATACTATTGCAACCGGTGTTATAAACCCATTCACATGTCCGACTAAATGCCTCAAAATAAGCCAAAATGAAACTTTATGAGCGAAATTTATTCATTTTTTATGTAGTATGTCTATTTCAGAGTATATTCTGAAAAAGCTTATTCAAATTTTAAAACTTGCAGTATATATTATTCATATTCCTACCCAAAAGAACATGATGTCTTAATTACATTTGAAGCTGTATAAACATTCATTGCATAAATGTTATTCATTTTATGCAAATTGTTCTTAATTTGATTAACCACACTATACTAATATACTAAGGTCAGTAGCTTCTTGAAATATTATTAAAAAGACGTCTAAACACAAATTTTGTACAAGAATATTTCTGATATCAAAAACCCAAAGGTGTGGTAGAAAAGCTTGAAAAAACACAATTAACGATGCCTCTTCATAATCGCTAACCTCGAAACAAAAATAGTGTTCCAGTTGATGTACCAAGTCTGATTGGCTGAAAGCAAAGTCTTCATGACCGCAAGGAATAAAATAAATAGAAACAATAGAGCACTCAAGTGATGACGTCACAAAAATTAATTTTTGCTTGATCATATTTTTGGTTAACAAATTCGACAGACAATCAGAAAAGACGGTTACACACCAAATTTGACGAGAATCAGACAATTATCAGCTGAGATATGACCATTTGAATATATAATTACTCCATCCATACGAATCACTGTATTTTCGGCTCAGTGATTTGGATGGAGTAATTATATATTCAAATGGTCATATCTCAGCTGATAATTGTCTGATTCTCGTCAAATTTGGTGTGTAAACGTCTTTTTTTATTGTCTATAGAAATTAGAGATCGAAAATAATAAAAGTCAAAAATTATTTTTTCGTGACGTCACACTTGAGTACTCTATTTGTATAAACAACAAGAGACAATATTTGGTAATTTTTTCCATGGGAATATACTTTTTTCAAGTCTGAAAGAGGTTTTGCATAGTACCTCCATTGTTCTTTTTTTTTAAACAATTTTCTAGAAAATAAATATTGCATTTTTAAAACACTTCAGATGCCTCTTAGATCCCTGCTCAGATATTCAACTTACAATATAGTATAAGACATTGTCAAACTCATTAATAGTTCATGAGGAAAACACAACAGAAATCACGACCGTGAAGAGTGTTGTAAATCTGATACAAAATTGTGTTCATTTGCATAAACTTTAAGGTGGATTTTCTTGGCCAGATTCACTTTTATCTTGAAAATTTTAGTGAAACACAAAGGAACTAACCTAGACGTTTGACAAGCAATCTACAGTATTTGCATCTGTGTTGTATCTGATATACAAACTCTTGGCTACGCCTCAAGTTTGTATATCTGATACAACACAGCCACTCATACTGTATATATTACGTACACATTAATACTGTACTGGCCCTAATACTGCAGTATGTACTGATATAATTTGCATTAATTAAACATCAGTTTCATAATTTTGGTCAGAATGTAAGATTCAACATAGCTATCTGATCTTTTCAATCTTAATCAGAATTCCATTGTCAAGCTATAATTATAAATTAGCAATCACTACTATCTGTTTTGTGTCAAATCTGTCTATCATTTAAATTATATGTTCAACTCTGACTCCCTTAATTGGGTATATCTTATGAAAAATTGGTTTTGTAATATCCTGTCACTTGATAGATGACCTACAAACAGAAGGTTCAAAAAACATGTTACTGGTAATTTACGTCATGCGTGACCAGTAAGTCTGGGAATTCAAATGTTGCTTTCAAGACGTCATATTAAATTTCAAATCTCCAATCAGCTTTTCCAATATTCCAAAACACTTTTAGTAAATAAAAAAAAAAGGTTTTGAACCTGCTATTTGTGAATGATTAAGATATACTTTCCAAAAGAATTCACTTCTCAACAGCATCACTGAGAATTAGCATGAAAATATTTATTTTTTGAAGTTAAGAATAATTTGAATTGCCAGTATTTTAAGTGAAGTTGGCACCTAGACTTGGAATTTCAGACAAAGTCTCTGAAAGTCCAATCAAAACAGTCGTATTATAGCTAACTTACAATGTCATGCGTGACCAGTAATTCTGGGAATTCAAATGTTGCTTTCAAGACTTCATGTTTAAATTTCAAATCTCCAGTCAGCTTTTCCGTACCCTACAAGCAGAGTCTTCTTTCCTTTCTCTCTCTCGGGGGAAGGTAAAGGAGACTCTTCTCGCAGGGTAGCTTTTCAGATATTCCAAAATACTTTAAGTAAAAAAACTAGGTTCTGAACCTGCTGTCATGAATGATTATGAAATATTTTTCAAAAGAATTCACTTCCCAACCACATCACTGAGAATTAGCTTGAAAATCTTTATTTTATAAAGTTAAGAGTAATTGGAATTAGCATAGTTTTGATTGTAGTTGGTGTCTAGGCTTGAAATTTCAGACAAAGCCACCAAAGACCAATCAAAACATGAGTGGTACTGGTCTTCCATGATGTAAATTAGCTGTAAATTTAAAACAGTAATAATAAAAGGGTTAATTTTACACTGTGAAAAGATGAAAAAACTAACTGACGTTTCAGACGCTAGTCCTTTGTCGGAGTAAAACTTAAATTAAAATTGAAGATAAAGAACAGTTTTCCATTTTAGGTAATCTGATATAAATACTGATAGAACACAAGAGAAATATGGTAAACCATGATATAAAACACAATTTAGATCAAAGTGTCTAAAACAAAAAACCTTTCAATATTTTTWTAGAAAATAGCAAGCACAAAAATTAACAAAAATACTGACATTTTGTTTCCAATT